TTTTATTTTTATTTTTATTTTTGGATAGTGTTTTTTTGGACTTTCATATTTCGAACTGATATAAGTTTTACCTACAGATACATGTTTAAGACAATAACAAAAAGTGAAACCCAAATAGATTTTGGCTTTAAATGGAGAATTGGATTTTTGGTTCTCTCTTCAACTCACTTTTTAATCCTCATGAATGGGTCTCTAATTAGTTTCTTTAAAGCTTATAAAGGACTGAGGCAGGGAGATCCACTTTCACCGTTTTTTTTTACGTTGTATGTAGAATGTTTCAGTCTCATAATTGGTAATGTAGTGCGACGGGGCCATTTTTCTAGGTTTGCTTGTGGTAGGGAGGGTCTAATCATATCTCATTTGTAGTATGCAGATGATACTTTGATGTTTTGTGAGACAGAATTGGCAGAAGTGAGTAATATTTGGAGATTTTTGAATTGTTGTGAAGTGGCTTTGGGTTTAAAAGTCACTCTGGATAAAACTTCTTTAATAGGTGTTCATTGTGATAGTTCATTGGTTAGAGAGTTGGCAGCAAGTTTGGGGTGTAAAGTGCGTGTTTTCCTCATTACTTATTTGGGGCTTTCCATATCAGATGCAAGATTGTCGGTCTGAGTTTGGGACAAGGTGATTCAACGTGTCCAAGTAAAGTTAGATCTCTGGAAACCTAAATATTTATCTTTGGGAGCTAGGACTACCGTTTTGAGATCTTGTATGGTGAATCTCCCAATTTACCAAATGTCTTTACTTCGTATACCGAATAGAGTTACAAAAAAAATTGAAAGGATGATTCGTAACTTTTTATGGTGGTCTTTTGGTGAGGAAAAAAAATCCCATCTCTTAGATGAGACAGAGTTTGTACTCCCAAACACGAATGAGAATTGGGTATTAGGATAATCACTTTTATGAATAAAGCCTTATTATGCACATGGCAGTGGCACAACTTTCACTTCAGAGACCAACTTTGATGTCAAGTTTTGATTGCCAAACATGGTACATATAGATTTGGTTTCTGGGTGGGAGGTTGGAGAGGTAGTGCAAAGAGGTCTATTTTTTGGAAGGATATTTATCTGTGTAAACCTTTCCTTCAGGGTAATCTTCGATGGTGTTCGGGGAATGGTTGTGATGTGTCGTTTTGGCATCACAAGTGGCTTGGGGATCGCCCTTTGTTTCCCAAAGATATTTGATAAAGTGTCTAATTCTCATGTGAAAGTATATGATGTTTATCAGTTTAGTGGGAAAGTGATTTCGAATCCAAATTTTCCTTATAATAGAGTAGATGAAGGCATGGTTCCACAGTTCATAGCTCTCTTTGGAAAATTTGAATGAGGCGTATATTGCCCAGGGTGTATGTGATGAGTTGGTCTGGGATATCGAAAGTGATGGGAAGTTTTCCGTTAAGTCAGTCTATTGAATGCTATTTCATGATCCTTAGCGATGGTCTATGTCTGAACTTGCACAAATCTGGAAATGGTCACTGCCTCATAAGGTTCAGTATTTTATTTGGTTAGCAATGCAAGACAAGATATTGACTGTTGACAATTATATCTAGAGGGGGAAAATTTTGCTAAATATTTGTTTGATGTGTAAGGAGGATGGTCAATCTGAGGCCCATCTTTTTGTACATTGCCATTTTGTTCATAGCATCTGGAGTCTTTTTCTTATGTAGCTGGATTTTAGTGTAGCTTTGCCTAAGATGTTTTTGGGTGTCTCGACTCATTTCTTTTTCCCGACTCTTCCTAAAGTTGGCAGCATTATTTGGAAAATTGTCAGGGGAGTTGTTCTTTGGGAAGTATGGAAGGAGCGCAATAGGAGAACATTTGATTGGAATGCGCTACCTCCTGAGATAGTTCTTAGTAACATCTTTCATTCTATTTGGAGTTGGGGCTGTAACAAAAGAGGGGTGGGGTATTTCAAAGGTCAATGTTCGACATAATATTGGCAATTTATGTCGCATAAGTGTTGTGAAATGCAAGCCCTTAGGTCACTAGTCTCTACCTTTGCAAGGTTGTTACAAACTGAATTTTGATGGTAAGTCTTTGGGTAACCTGGGCGAGGCTAGTGTTGGGGGTGTTGTTAGAGATCGGCATGGGAATATCATATTCACGTTTGCTCTCCCTATTGGTATTGCGACTGCTAATAAGGTAGAATTTTCAGCTCTTTTGCAAGGTCTAAAACTATTTAGATCAAGGAATTTGGGGAATTTTTGTATGGTGGAAGGATTTATGAATGTCATTAAATGGTGTAAGAAGGAGCTTCGAGTGCCTTGGGAACTTCGACCTATTTGGTGCCTAATTCTGGATATTACAACTGCCTTGTTAATTTCGTATCAACATGTCTATCGGGAGGCTAACTCTTTAGCATATGATCTTGCTAAGAGTGGTGTTTTACCACCTGCGCTTTTAATTTCTGATGATGTAATCTCATTGTAATAATAATATGTTTGGCTAGCACCACCCAGCCTTGGTCCTCATAGGGCCCTAGCCAAACTGGGCCAATGGGGGCCTAACCCAATCATGTCTTGGCCAGGCCACACCAGCCGAGCCCATCCCAAATAAAATAATAAAATAAAAAGAAAAATATAGAAAAAAAAAAGTGGGGACAGGTTGACCCTATCTCAAGCCCAACCCGGCCCTACCATCTTCCATGGTTTCCCAACACTCGAGCCACATTTTGTAGCCCAAGCCCTAATTTCTTAGGGCTGGGCATACTAGGCCCAGCCACCTGCCCCATTGCCACCCCTATATCATATCTTGATACACTCGCACTCAACTTAGCAGTCAACCTCAAAAAACAAAAAAAAAAAAGAGAAAGAAAGATAGGATGTACTCTCTATGTGCCTGAGAAAAATAACGTCCTAAGATTGCACCTAAAGAGTCCAAATTTTGGAGAATCAAATCCATATAAACCCAATTTTTTAAAAATACCCAGCTGATGATTACAAATTGAAACCGAACTTTAATATCGAAAAAAGAACCCAGTAGGCTTTTTGTGAGGGTAAGTGTACAGTGCACCAGCTTGAGTACACTGTCAGCGCTCAAATTGAGATTGAGACTAGTGATCAAACATTCTCCGAGTGAAGCGGTCATACGATAAAATCGGGTCTTATCTGTTGGAAATTGTAGCCTTCCATACCACTGTATTCAAGATATCCAATTATAATGGGCATAAATATATTAGTTAGTATTATCATGGTTTTGATATAAAAAGAGTCATACATAGATATAAATATCACTACGTTTTTAGTACCTAATTAATTCTAACCAGAGTTTTAACAAGCTGTCTCTTATAAGCGAACATCATTATAATTAATTCTATGAGGTAAGGACTATAGAATAGAGGGTCTCTTAAGGAATGAAATGGAGAAAGACGAGAAGAAGGGAGCTGATTCGCTCGCATTGTATACCCATCACCTATGCTTCTTGTGTTGTTTGGGGACAAATCCAAGTATCAGTAATCCCATCAATGCATTCTAGTTTTCTTTTTTGTTTGTTTTTTTATTTTGCAAGGCCCAACAGGATCCAGATCGGATCCACCAGATTCGATCCAAATTACTATTTGGATCTAATGTTTAGATCCAAATCCAAATCTTGGATCCATACCCTCCGAATAGGATCCTAAATTTGAGTTTTGGATCCAGATCGGATAAATTCTCAACCCTAATGACTGGCCAATAAGCGGAGTACTAGTCAACAAACTACCATATAAACATGACTTGGAAGGACTGTGCATGGCTTTGTATGCTCCTCTGTCCTCAAGCCTCCAAGGCAATGCTATGCTGAAATAAGAAACAAAAAATTGCAAGCATTCTATGCTCTCACAATTATCAATGTCTAAATACAGTGCTACCATGCCCTCACAACATGAAGTCATGATCATACATCCAATCTTGGACTAGCTATTCTATACCATGCTGCATTCAAAGTCTCGATTACTACAGTAATAGCATAAGAGATCATCAAATCTGCTTCAGGAATCCGACAACATCGCCTCCATTGCCATGCCTCTGAGCTTTCACCAAATCAAATTATAGGCCTTCACACATGCAAATGCGCGCACATGGTGCGTGTGGCGCACTTACGCCCAAACACAACAAAGCTCATAAAGCAAAAGGTAGACCTCTATACCATTTCAGGCAAAACCCCCCTTATGTATGCTTTATCCATTTTATTAAAGAAAAAAGTTATACAAGGATAATGCGCTACGATAGAAGCTGCAACACAGAACCCTATCTGAAAATGTAATTCTAGCCAAAAGTTATGAATGTGTAAAAGGATGACGTTCAAGCATTGATAACACAGTATTTGGAATGACCATGTTCCTTTTTGGAGCTTCAAATCTAAAAATGAAGGGCAAAACAGATTTTTCGAGATCATCATAGCAATTTCTGGTGCCGAAACTACATTTTCCAATGGCTTTGAGGCGCAGCTTTACTTTTCTAGGTAAAGCCTAAGCCTTACGATAAATGCACCCTTTTATTAATAAGCACTTGTCTAGTAAAGTTCAGTTGCCTGGTAGAGTTCTGTGCAAAATGGCTTCAGCAACAAACCATCACACATTCTACTACAATTTAATCAATCTGTTGACAAAAGATACAGGAAAATAAAGGGAACAACAGGAAAGGAATGATCTTATTTATTCAAAATTTATTCAACTACAATTCTGAAAGAAAATTGTAACCCTAAAATGGGTCAAGCCGCATAACCTAACCATATACTTCACTGAGAGCAAGTATATCCACAAAGAGAGAGAGAGAGAGAGAGAGAGAGAGAGGAGGGGAGGGGAAGAAAGAACTAAACAAATAACTACTTACTAATAACTAAGAAAGAAAGAAAGAAAGTAAGTACGACGTAGGTACGTACACGTACTATAAATAAGTA